GGAGTCAACATGGTCGATGTGTTTTCTGTGCTGACTGTTTCTGAAGTTGTGCTGAGTGAAGAGGATGTGATAGCAGGCATGGAGGCTGTTGAGCTGCTGCTGGTCGTGGCAGTGGTTCTTGTAGAGGAAGGGACGGTGCGTGTAGGAGTGGGTGTTGAAGTCCCTTGGTGTGTGGACGTATGTCTTGTAGTGGCATATGGCGTGGCATTCGTGGTGGTAGGAGTGATTGTAGAAGTTGGTCTGGAGGTTGCAATAGATGTCACCAAATTCGTGGTGCTGGCATCTGTGGTTGCTGAAGTGGAGCTTGGTGATGACGCAGTTTGTGATGTTGTGACTGTGGCAGTAGACGTAGAGGAAGAGGTGGCTGCAGTGGTGGTCTGCATTGTGGTTGTGGTTGTTGCGGGTGTGGAGGTGATCTCTGTAGTGGCAGCGGTACTTGTGGTGCTGGCTGATGTTGAAGAGAGAATGGGTGTCGTGAGAGTAAGAGTAGACATCGGTGGACTCGTACCTGTGAGGGTACTCAAGGTGGTGGGAGTGCGTGTGGGAGTGATGCCAGTCGTGTTGACCATACCAGTAGTACTGGTGGGTGAAGGGCTGGCAGTGGTAGTTGTTTCTGTAGTCAGGCTGGTGGTGAGCGAGGTTATGGAATTACTCGTGGATGTCAGCACAGTCGTAGGAGAGGACGTGCTAGTCAGAGTAGATGTGCGCTCTGTGGAGGCCGGATGCGTGGAGGTGACGGCTGACATACTTGTCAGAAAAGGTGCTGTGGTCATTTCTGTGATTGTGGTTATTTTAGTGGTCATGATAGCAACTGTTTCCGAAGTTGATGGCGTGGAAGCCGTGGATGTGGCATAAGAAGGGGTCGTTGTTGCAGTGATAGTGGTTGGAGGCATGGTTTTGGTGGTAGTCGTGACCTGAGTGTTCCTTGTAGTCAGTGATTCAGTGGTCTGCACAGTAGTAACAAGAGAGTGTGTCATGGTGGTCCGTGCGTTTTCTGTGCTGTCTGTTTCTGAAGTTGTGCTGGGTGAAGAGGATGTGATAATAGGCGTGAATGCTCTTGAGGTTGGGGTGGTCGTGGCGGTGGTTGTGGTTGTCGTGGAGGATGGAACGGATCTTGTAGGAGTGGGTGTTGAAATCCCTGGGGTTGTGGATGTCTGTGGTGTACTGGCAGGCCGTGTGGAGCCAGTAGTGCTAGGAGTGATTGTCGAAGTGGGTCTGGATGTTGCAGTAGATGTCACCACATTCATGGTGCTGGCTTCTGTGGTTGCTGAAGTGGAGCTTGGTGATGAAGTAGTTTGTGATGTTGTGACTGTGGTAGTGGATGTAGAGGAAGAGGTGCCTGCGGTAGAGGTGGGCATTGTGGTGGTGGTCGTGGTGGTGGTGGTGGTGGGTGTGGAGGTGATCTCTTGGGTAGCTGTGCTTGTGGTGCTGGCTGATAGTGAAGTGGGAAATATTGTTGTAAGAGTAGATGTAGGTGGAGCCGTACTTGTGAGGGTACGTGATGTTGTGAGAGTGGGTATGGGAGCGATGCCGGTTGTGCTAACTGCACCAGTG